AAACTTGCATTGATGAGTGATCACTATTGATTACCTTTTCTGTATCAATATTCCATTCACTACTGAGACATACACAAAGTTCTTATACGTTTATTGATGTAAATAAACCTTCACATACTTTTAAAATTTCACCCGTGGAAGAAAGGAAGAGAGAAGAGCAAAATATGCAAAGTCAAGAATCCATCTTTAACATCAGTTTTTCTATGAAGGAATATTCAAGAATGACAGTAATGGACAGGGAGCTTTTTTCCACCCTGAGCAATTGCACCAGAGCCAGATGTAATTTTAACCCTTGTGGATAAAACAAGCACAAGGACTGCTTAAATATGTCGTTAGCCTCACAGAAGAGGTTAAGGAAAAGATGCAGCTCCACATCACTGGGAACTCCCTCTGCGCCTTGTCTCAGGTGTTGCATCCCCAGGAGCTCAGGTGCAAACCTGGAAAGGCTGGGCTTTCCAACTGCAACCTGCTCGCAGCTTTTGGCCACTGATGCTTGCTCTTGTGTGCTACACTGAATCGTACAACACCACTGGTACAGAGGAATGAACAAAGGAAGGTAGCGAAACCCCAACACAACTTGAATGACATATGCATTTTGGTCAGATAAAACAAAACTAGATGCAATGCCCATTTTTCTGCAATTTTGGGAAGTTGTGATTTTTTTGTTAAGGGTCCTTACAAACAGGCTTTTAGAAGGTAGCATAGTGCACAGTATTTCTTTGTTTTGAACTAACGTTTACCCAATATGATCATTGCATATTTGTACAATGGGACCCCTAAAATGTGTTTACAGACCCCTGAGAAACCACCTCATTTACCAATGGGCTGCAGCTACTACTGGGAGAAAGGAGAGGGTAGTATGAAACAGCATACTGTTCAGAAAAAGATTACATGCCTAGCCAAAACTACCCAGGAAATATTTGAGAAATATCCTTATTTGACTGGCAATGTGGCCAAGTACAACAGTGGGGTAATGTCTCTCTCTATCCCCCAAACCCTCCACCTCTTTGGCTATGCAACAGGATTGGGCCCTTTTCTTTTTTGTGTTAATTACCTTCAATATGAAAATATGAAGACAAAAGATAAATAATTGCAACAGCCTGAGAACTCAAATATATTAAAACAAAACATTATCTCCTCTATTAATTAAGGTAATCAGTTGCCATTAAGAACTGCAAACAATTTAAAGTTCAATTCATTGAGACTTTGAACCTCCTATCTTTTCACAAGCTACACAGATGAAATATCTACCAATTTTAACTGCCTTTAAAAAAACCCTGAATAATTAGGACATTTTTATTCAAGGTTTTAGTATGACATACTTAACAACATCAGGTATTTAAACTGTTATTTAGCTTTAAAAAAAAATAAATAAAAAAAAAGTTTATTATTAACCAGTTTCCCAAAGCAAGTTTTGTATTTTTTAAGAAATTCACTAAGGTATCTGGACTAGGAACTAAAAAGAATCAGAGAAAATTAAAAAGTAATTGGCACAGGTAAAAGTTCCACTGCTTCATCATTCAGCTTTGTGTCCAAGCAGCAACAGTCCCTGCATACAGCACTCTGAAATTGCATCAACTGCAGAGGAAACTACAAACTTTCCCTGTCGTTTGGTTTCTGCTCTGCAAAGTACCACAAAATTGCTACAAGAAATAATTTGCCATAACTGAGGACACTCAACTGTCCTGTTTTCATGGAAGGTTACAGCATAGAGCTTCTGCTCTCTAACAAGGAGGAGGAAACATGCATAACAAAATCAATCATAAGGGTAAAGGTGAAGAGTACCCTGGCTCTGAATGGCTCTGCATTTCCAAGTGCTCAAAGTTCAGTGCTAGTATTTTTAAATGTGTCAAAGAACATAATGAAGAACAACTATCAGAGTACAAAAGAAAAGATAAACCAGCACATGAACCAAAGGCCTAAATTAAGTCGTTTCCAAATAATTAGCATGGAAAAAAAGCCAAATGTCTAAAATACAAACGTAAAATATTGTCAGTGATTTTAAATAAATAAGATCCCTTAGAAGTGATTTTAGCTAAAATACTGAGATATTCTTTTTCAGTTGGGATGTAGTATGATTATCATTGTCTTCTTGTGGTTTTCATCTCTGACCTATTTTTTCCTATATATTAAGGACAAAACATATGATGTGCATTTGTCAAGAAGTCTCGTTTTCTCAAACAGTGTCAATTCTTGCTCAGGGCTATATTCTGTAACAGTTTCTCACGTTTATTGGTAATAATTTATAATAGACAAGTAAACAGTACATAATATGTGCAGCCTATTACTTCTAAAACCGGATTTGAACAGTTTCATTTTCTCATGGATATTTGTTGAGAGCTCTGTTAACATAACATAATACATACATACCTGCATGCATACAGCTTTACAGGCATGTTTAGCTCGTACAGATACCATAATTACCATGAACCATAAACAAGACTGTTCTTTGTCTGTGGTTCTAAACCAAATATGAGTAGAATTGAAAAGAAATGTATCTTTTAATCTAGGAATTATGACACAGACAGAGAATCATTACAGACTTTTGAGAATGGGTCAGATCCTCAGACACTGTAAATCAGAGCAGCTGTACTGAGGTTAACTGAATCCTATTTATTCATCTAAAAATATATATCCTTAGCAACTTTTCTTGGCATTTAAGTTTTACATTGGGTCCTTTTGCAGTATGAAATTTCTGTGTTTTCCATGAAAAACTGACTACCATCGCAATATTATCAGGAACCATATGACATGATAATATTCCTTCAAACACTCATTGCAGAAAAATGCAAAAATAATAAGGCAGATTAAGAATCGTAGCAAACTGCATCCACTGCTCTCCTTATTTTTAAGTGTATTCCTCTTGAAGTGGTTCAAAATAACAAGATCTCTTCACTTACACAGACAAGCACTTTCAAAAAAACCCACAAAAATTACTTCTCTGACTGGCATAAGCGCTAATAGCAGAGTATAATTTGGGGAAGAATCAAACACAGACTACTAAACCAAAAACAATTTTAGCTTTTAATTTGAACATGAATTCTTATGCTGCTACTTGGCAAAGCACTGCAGTCCAGCAGCTCCTTTGGAGCAAGGTCATAAAAGAGACAAGGGTCATCCAAATATGTAAGACCCCCAGCACAGCAGGCGCAAACTCTGCACTAATTATACGAGGCTGCTTCGTCCCCAGCACACAACCCCTCTGGCAACCTCCCCATGGCATTTGCACTACCCAAAACAGGGCTAAGGTGACAGGACCAGGGTGGGTACCCATCAGGAGGTGCCCATATTTGAGCAGACAAAAATAAAGTGTGAAGAGGGTGAAAGCAAAGACTTTCAGGTTTTTTCTGCTGAATCATTTTTGGTCACTGAGGTTTTAGAAGCTGATTCAGGCAGGGAAAAGCCCTAACAGGGCAAAAACTGGAGCTAGCAGGGACGCACAGGGCCACCCTAGAAGGAGGCAGGTTTGGGGGTGAGCCCTCTCATCTTTTCAGCAGAGGCGTCAATCTCCAAAAGAAGGCACCTCCAGAAAGAGGTTCTCTTTCTTTGAGACTGTGCCCTGGCTGTTTTTTTCATAGAAGGTGATGAAGCAGTCTAATATTTGGCAATCAGCACCACTGCTCGTGTTCCAGAAATCTCAAAATATCTTCACCTTTACTAAGCAACTCTCTCAGCACTCTCACTTTACAAAAGAAGAAACAGAGACCCAGTTTAATGAATTAACCCAAGGAAACAAAATCAAAAGTACATAGGACTGGATTACCAGCCCTTCCCAGCTCCCTGTGAAAGACATAACTTGCAGCAAGAGATGAATCTCAAATCAGGTTCATAACACGTTCACAACTGAACAAGTTTCTTCTCACTAGCAGACAAAGAAACCTTTCCTTACAAAGATTTATTTCAGTGAACAGACATATAGAGTTGCATTTATTTCTATGGCTTTGTCATTATCAATTTACTATACCGTGTCACAAGCTACAGTTTACTTAAATCAGCCAGTAAATGCTGGGAGAAATGTTTGTTGACACTGAGTAGTGAATTCCTACAAAACCTGACTGCACTTCTGCACTGGCAAGTGGTGATCAAAGTGATATGAAACTGAAAGCTCCCACATCAGGATGAACAACACATTAAGTATAAGTTCAGAAAGAGGCTGGGGATGCAAAGTCAGTTCAAAAAATACAAACTGGATAATAAAATAGGAACATATATTTTTAACCAATAGGCACAACTTCTGGAATGGAAACTGTCAACTCACTTGTTTGCTATATAAATTGCTTTTGATTTTTTCATACAAGGGGCAAAACATCAAACAAAAAATATTATCACTTGTACTATATTTAATGCTTCTGAAAAGCACTTAAACTTACTGCAGTTCTAATGCATGTCATCTTCTTAATACTCGATTAAAATATTAAATTAATAAACTTCAAGGCAGCAAAATTATTCATTTTAGTATTTCCAAGGACCTTTCTGTAAATGTAGTGAAAAGATAAACCCAGTGAACAGCTTATCAATACAACCTCCATGAAATATTTGCTAACATTACACATATGTTAAGCAGTGAAATGTTTTTCACTTGAAAAACACAAAACATTCTGCATCTGTTGTAGAAAGTCAACCCAAGAGATACATCTAACTGAAGACTTCTATTTTTCATTTAGAAACCGAAGAAGAAAAATTCCCTTCACAGCTTGTTTGATTCAATTAAAGCAATCATTTACTCAGTACCTATTGCAAATGTCTTGGGCTGCATGGAAGGAGAAATTACACAGTTTGGATAGTAACTGAATACCACTGACTTCTGAAAAATTAAACCATTGTTTTCTAAATAAAATTTCTGTATTGTCATCTAAAAGTATATATGGCTGTAAACATAACAGAGAAGGTTATTTTTAGCTCAAATACCATAATTCATTTTAGAATTATAGTTAGAAATGCTAAAGTGATAGGAGGAAAAAAAAAAAAAAGCACAACTACTAGTTGCACATATCACTCAC